ATATATATATATATATATATATATATATATATAATGATAGATGTCAAAATATAATAAGCAAAAAGATTACGTGTCAAGTCACACGTGTCATCACTCACGTGATTGGCTTGCAGGGCACCTATGACTAGCAGTGAGAAAGTCAATATGTCGGTGAAATAAGTAATATGCCGAAGAAAAGAGCAATATGTCGGATGTTTGGACGAAGTGGCAGAAGAGAGCATACAACATGTCGAAAGAGAGCATACAACATGCTGAAAGCTTCCTAAATGTGTGGAATATGTGGTTGATTAATTAAAGTCTTGATCATGATCATTTTACGTCAATTTAAGTTGGTATTGGGTCGAAACAATGCTAACTTGTCAAGAAAGTCAATGGGCTTAAGAGGCTAAACATGTGGGCTAAAGGAGGCATAGGCATAAAACTATTAGGCTAAGGTGATAGTATCACTTAATTCAGTTCACAAGTAATATTTTGTGCTTGTTAGACTTTCCAGTATTAGTACCACCTATGATAATGGTAATACCAACTAGGGCAATGGTAGTACCATCAAAGCCAATATTCATAGCCTGGTTGCGACGGTAGTACCATTCAATACTGATGGTAGTACTGCCCATATCTTGATATTTCAAGGATTCGAATTTTTGGCTCCATTCTTGAAGTCTTTTGGGATCTATAAATAATCCACTCAGGCTTGGCTGATAGAGTATTTATTTCCTAAGCAAAAAAGTATTGTAAACTCTTATTTTGAGCATAGTGTGAGTCTCCTCCTCTTGAGTTTGGTTATAATTCTAAGTTATAAGAGGTAAGAGATCTTATGTAAAAAGAGAGTATGAAGGCTATCTCCTCCTCAACCTGAAAAATGAGAAAGGTGTAACAAGAGTAGTTGATCTTCACCTATTGGACAGAAGATCGATAGTGAAAACTGATGGCCTCGAGAGAAGAAGAATCAGGAGTGAACGTAGATGGGGAAGATCGGACCGCTATAAATTGATTTGTCTCTCTTTATTTACCTTTTAATTATGGACTTAGTTTTATTCTCTTGTAACTTTAACTTTATCAATTGAGTTTCGAAAACATGTTGATTTATTGATCAAGTTTTGAAATTGACTAAAAATATTATCGTACTAATTCACCCCTCTCTTAGTGCCATTAAGATTCTAACATGGTCAGGGTGTGTATATATATTATAGCATGCGATGTGGGAGTGCACATATATATTACGATAACGTATGGTCTAGGAGTATATGTATATGCTATGATATGAGTATAGAAGTCTATGAATTTGTTATGTTTTCTATATATGCATATAAATATTTTGAATTATTTTGACGTAGAATTTTACCTCTTTATTTTTGTATATATTATATTGTACGATTATACTTTCTGAAAAAGTGAAATATTTATCATTAAATATCTTATATCGATGATTTTGAAATATTATATACATGACATGACATGACATGACGTATGCTTACCTAAATAAATCTATAAAGACTTATTTTTACTAAGCGATTACTAACTATATATCATATTTTGTAGAATTAGTCTCCTATCCAATTAAGTGAGCATGTGCACATGCCAGAGCGAGTAGCATTTTGTATGTAAATTTTGGACATATTATATCTATATTTTTCTATTGATTTGTTGTTATAATTATATACAAGTGTCCAAAACACTTTTTGTTTAGTAATACTATATTTTAATTTTAAGATTATCGTGACATCCTACTTTTAGAGTCATATATGTAGGATACAAGTGAAACTAAGAATAGGATACTATAATAAATATTTTTATTAGTTTAAACAAATATTTTCCTTATATATATAAATAATTTAATTAAGTTGTTATTTGTCTTCTAAACCAACATGAAATACTTAAGTTTTGTAGGTTAGTGGTACTTAAATAAGTACTATGATGTGGTTAATGAGTTGAGCCACAAATCTTAATTAAGGTCTGTCTTCTTTAAAATTAGTCTAACATTGAAAAGAAAGCTTCAAGTTTTACTAGTGATGAAGCTAATCAATGGAGTTGATCAGCATAGTCAAAGGATAATTTAACAATAACGACAACAACTCACGTCGTTTGACTTATTTGGGATTCAGCTAACACGATTTTTTTTTTTTTCATAATTAAATTTTACATAAAGAGAAGAGAGAAAATAACTAAGAGAATACACATCAGAGTAGTTGGACTTGCAACTTTCTTTTCAAGCACACCACAGTAAGCATATATCTTATGATATCAAAAGAATGTCTAAAAAAAATCATGACAAGCCAATTTAAGACTCTCATGAACCAAGATTTACAATCTAAACCTAATAACAGCCTACCATACTAAATCATCTGCAGTGGAACGGTGCAGCTGTTCGACAATCTCGCCGTTGGCTGTCCAAAATAAATCAATCTCAGCAGGGATATGGGCTTCGAAAAATCTGTAACCGAGATCATTCATCCAATGTAAGCTTCATTATCAAGTCGTTCCAAGCATCGATTGCGCCAGGCAAGCACCAATGCAGGCAATCATTCTGAACTTTCGCATTCTTATCCTTCTCAAACGGATGGAATCTCCTGTAAGGTCCTGAATGGGCATCAGGCCTTAGCAAAGAGAGTTGGAAAGTGTCCAGGAGTTTGAGGTGTGCCGCATTCTCTGTTCCATCGAGTGCCACCGCTCTGTTGAACTCCTCTAGCTCAATTTTTCGCATCACACGGTCCACTTCTCTGCCATCAAACTCCCCTGCCTTGTATGGTGCGGTCCTGTTACAAACACCACCACTGAACCACTCACCATATTCAAAGTGGTCTGGCGCCCATGTCCTATAAATAACAATCGGCTTGTGCTCAGAAGTAGCGACAAAATGGAAGACCGAATTGAGGGTTTTACTATAAGCATACTCGTAACCGAGTTCTGATAAGTTCAGCTTGGGGCAGTAGTGGCAGCCAACAACTGTGTTATTCTCCATATAGACTGCAGTTTTCAAAAACCATTGCCCGCCCGATACGACCATGTAGTCAAAGCTGGTATACTGACTTGTCCAGTTGTCATCGAGGGTGTCAAGATGGAGCCGGTTTTCAGATTTTGACTCACCATCATCATTTTCAAAAATCTCTGCTTTAATCAGGAACGGGCTCCAGATGAGTGAGATGGTGAAGTTGTGGGAAGGAAAGCGCCACGTTCTCGATTTGTATTGTTCGTCATGATAGATCTCAACAGCATCTTCAGCCTGAAATGTGATAAGATGGTCAATTTGGCTTACAAATAGCATGTCTGATTTTACTATAGCAACATTTGAAGCAGTGAACCAAAATATACAAACCATAATGTTGTTTAACACTCAGATTAGTCTGTACGGTTCTAAACAACCAACCGGTATCAGGATTGCATTAATGGATCCAGGCACAACACACCATTTCGATAAGTTCTATAACCTACGACTGATATTACCATGATAATCCAGCCCCAGTCTGGGCCAACGCTTTGAACAAAAGACGATACGTGAGGATAAAGAAAATATAATCCTGCATAACATACTATCAAGGATTGATAACAAAGAGAAATCATCAAAAAGCTATTGACTCTAATATTGAAGATATGGTTCGTCTCCTCATAATGCTTCCATCATGCCACAAACAAGTTTATCAAAAGTGCTGTTTCATGTTTACCCAAAACTTTAATTTAAAGCTTTTGATTTTATGTGCATCTTGCACAGATATCCTCATTCTCAAACTTATCTTTTTCCTGTTTCAAATTGTCCATCTTGGTTACAATGTGCCATATGTTATCTGAAATCATCTTGGAGAAAATGTGGAATGCTAGTCGTAAGATATCAGATATTCACTTTGGTTACAACACGCCATAATAAAAATCGACAAATTGCTTTGACTGAACTTTAAAGGCTAGTTAGATGATATAACATCAAGGAAATTCACCTTCGAAAGGAGACAAATCAATGACTGTGCATGGTTGCGAAGAATTGAATCACCAATTAGCGCCCAAGTTTTGTTCCGCATAACTTCCATAAATTTCTGGGCATTGAAAGGAGGAACATCACAACCGTGTGGTTTCCATCTCCAAAATAGATATCCCATATCAGGACGCCCATTCTTCATACAATTCTGAGGAGATTCTATAAATCGGCAGCTTTCGTTGGTATATGCTGGTCCTGAAGGATTTGGAATCCACTCCCCAGTAAAAAGATTACACTTATCTGCATTACCATAGTGCATAACCCAATTCAAATACCAGCCCAATAAGCATGCAAAACAAAGAAAATGACAAATGAAATAGAGAGAGAGGGAGGGAGAAGAAGAAAACTATGAAAATGTTACAATAGAGATTTAAAACACATTACACAATGGACAACCACAAAAGTAGACAAATATCGCAAGATCAGTTGCCACCAGTTAAGATGTCATTATCAGCCACAAATGCTATTTGCTATGTCTTAAACAAACAAGAGGCACATTGATTTTACTCTGTCCGATCATATCAAGAATGACGTACAATTCACTTCAGCTTCAGTTACATTCTGTCTCAGAACACGGAAAAGGACTTGGGAGAAGTTATTCAGCAACAAAAATGACAATTTCTTCCTGGCTGAACTTAGCTGCTCGACAGGGCAGAGCAACAAAAAAGTTGTGCAAGTTTGACTAGGAACTATTTTTTCCTATTTGTTTTTCCATCAGAATTCAAATCTGAATTCTGAGACTCACTACCTTGTTGATTTCATTTTTTTTTTTTTCCAAGCACCGGGGCAGCTTCTGGAACTGGATAATCAGAATCTGTTGACGATGAGTCATTGAGCAAGCAAAAGATATTCAACAACATGAGATGAGAAGATAATTGCATTGGGATGATATCTAATGGCCACAATAAACTACAACAGCTGCCAAGCTTTTTTGGTGAAATCTTACCGCTAAAGCTTCCGAAATATAGCTCTCTCTTACACAATGTAAACTTAACAGATCAACAAATCTAGTCTCCAATCAGTTTCATTCAGTTTTTCATAGATTTAGAATAATGCCTTTTTCTACATGCACTTCACTAGCATTCGATGACAGTATCACAGATCATCCTGATGTGATCCCCGAATGCAACCACAAAACAGTTGAAGAAACACTTCCATAAATTCAACAACTAATAACATCACATATATTAAATTCTTACCTTACGGCTTTCCTAGAAGTGGTGTTGACAACAGTAAGCCTTTAAAGCATGGCTTTCTCATCCTCTCTTGAATCAATACACCATAACAGTAAGCCTCTAATTTCTCGATACCTCAACCCCACCAACATAATTCAAGAACCTTGACTTTATTCAGAAACGGGAAAAGAAAAATCAATTCTTTCTCAAGAAAAAAGAAGAAAAAAAAAAGACCTTACAAGATTCGGTCATATAAACTCTCTGGTCAAACTAAAGCACAGAAATTTGGTGAAGTTTCTCTCTAACATAAAATCCAGATATTAAAAAGATAGGCCTCGCTCTTGTGGAAAGTTCACAACCCTCCACGCTAAAAATGCAGAACCCAACAGCGAAACCATCCAAAATCGGCTCTTTAACCGTTCCAATAAAGGAAAGCACGAAGAGGGACACCGAAAACTTCTCCTTTACGTTCTTTGTCGAACGCCGGAGCCCCGCATTACGCCTTCCACCAAAAAAGATCAGATTTTTCGATCAGAAATCACCAACCTTTGCGAGGCTTCGCGTCCGAGACGACGCCGACGGCCACCTCCCTCGAGTCCGATCTGTCCACCGGGACCGCGGGCGACTCCGGCACGGGCAGGAGCACGACGAAGCCGGAGAAGAGGATGCGGAAGGTGAGGTAGACGAGGAGCACGAGGGCGAAGAGCTTGACGGGGATGTGGTTGCTCCTCCGCTCAACCCCTGTCCAGGGCTGCGGACCCATCCCTCCGCACCACCTCTCTCTTCCGATGGCCAAATAATACGAGAGGTTCACCCAGAAAGAAGGAACCTGACGAGAGACAGCAAAGAAGAGAAGGGAAGGGTGGCGTTGTGCACCAAAGAAGAGCCACCCGGAGGAGGCCAAGGGAGTCTTAAGATAGAGGGAGAGGGTGAGAGGATGAGAGAGAGGCCAAGAGAAAGCGGTTTATATATATATATATATATATCAGAAACGATAAAAACATAATACTTAATTAAAAAAAATTCTTTCGATAAAAAAAACTATTTAAACAAAAGGGTAGATATATAACAAATATTTTTAAATATATATTCTTTATTTTACTTCATAAATTATGATTATATAAAAATTTTTATCTTATTTTATGAACTATAATCTTATTTATAGGATATAGTGATAACTATCTTACTTTATCGTATCACCCATGATTGAGTATGGTATAAGAACTATCATATAACTTCTAGATTATAGGTCACTTCTTATAACATATCTATAACTATTTAAAAAATAATAAATAACTACTATGAATCAATTCTAACACTGTATGGATTAATTTCATGTAAGAAAATTACTTGTTATTTTGTATGGAAGCTACAATTTTGTAACTCCGGACTAATTCCTAATTTTTATTTTACACCAAAACATTAATTTGATGATGTTATATATCTCACTACTTTCAGTTGAGAGTTTGAAAATCTATTATGTAACACTTTATAATTAAAATATTAATTATAATGCTAAGTTAGTTTATGATATTTCATCCATAAAAATTTAAATTATTATTATTAATCTGGACTTATGTATTTTGGATGGATGGATTAGACTCATAACTAAGGTGTTAGATCAAAACTGGTGAAGTATCATTTTATTTGAGAAAATAAGACACATAACATAGGCAGAAAGAAGATAAAAAAATGTTTTACTTGATGAGGAAAGGAAAAAATAATAATAATAAAATTCTCAAAACTTTACAAAAACAATCAATATTCAAAGTTCCAAAACTCAAAAATTTTTGGATCAAAGTGCAAAATGATGAGATAAAAAAAAATAAATATACGAACAAATATAAATAGATCATAATATATAGTAGAATTAAATAAAATTATAATCAAATAAAAATTTACTGTTGACTTTATTAAAATAAAAATTATATTGTGGAACTCAAAAAGAGAATAAAAAGCAGCTGACTTTATTCATTACTTGGATCAAATGCAAAATGATTAGAGAAAGAAAGCATTTTTCATGTTCCTCCTTTTTCACATAGCCATTAATTAAAACACTAGTCCAAAGTGCTCAAACACAATAATCAAACTTTGCTTCTAACAATCTACTGTTTCTTCAGAGGTTGACAAAAGATAAATATTGTTACTATTAGTAAGAATAATAATGAGCAATTCGTGTGGTGAGAGGAGATCCAAATCTAACTATTATTATATGCATATTGTCTTATAGCTTATTTATGTTCTTCCATCTTATATGAAAAAATTTGAAGTATACAGTAATAATAATAAAAAACTATAAAGTCCTAATTATTTTGGCTATTGAAATCTATAAATTAAAAAAAAAATACTATATTTTTAGTTAAATAAAAAAATATAAAATTTTATTTATATTTTTTTTGTTAAAATCTTTCTAGGAGTGGCTTTCTTTTACCTCTCTTGGTATCACTAATAAGAAGATTAAGATGCCTAATTGGAGATCTCAAATAAAGAATATTTTTTGGAGAAGTTCTCTTTCTTATTGTATAGGAATATTTAATTAGGAAGATAACAGTGGAGGAATAGGTTGAAGAGTGACAGACTGTTCTAATTAAGATAGATTTAGAAGAACTCTTTACCTGTAACAAAGATAGAAACACCAAATCGATGCATATAAATATAATCGTTCTTTTTGGGGACTACTGATAATCCAATCAAAATATCTATATCACGAAAGCATATCATAAGTAGGTTTGAATGAGAATTGAGTGTATAACACCACAAAGATTTTTGCTACAAATTCTGATAATAGATATTGATCAATAGAAAAAAAAATATATTATAACAAAATTCCTCAAGAGATATTCATGAAGAAACTCTCCTAATAACTTATTAGATCCTTTGCTCTTATTTATAAATAAATATGACGTTTAGAGACTGGATGAAGCATCTTATAACACATCAATCTAAATGATCCTATGAAAAAGATAAGAAGATGAGAAAATAAAAGTCTAGTTGTCTTTGCAGGTTGTCTAACGGTTTTGAATCTAAAGACTCTGTCTTTATGGATCACTTATAAATCCCTTTTAGATTGCATCAAAAGATACATATCGTAAAATCGATCTAATAATTATTTAATTTCAATCATAATATAAATTTTTTCGTATTGTATATAATATATAATAATATTTTTATGCTTACATCATTAACTACTGTGACTGAATTATTCTTTTGCTGACACTATATCTTCAGAACCCAAGAAGAAAATGGATGATGATATGAGATGACAGTAAAGCTTCGGATTAGTATGATGAACTTAACCTGTTTAGTTTGGTAGCTCAGCTCTAGCATTGATGGATGGCAAATGCTATGGGGATGGGAGTCATTAACATCATCAAAAACACATCTGAGTCGGTCACTGTGATTCCAAAGTATCAGATTGGCTTCTCTCTCGGTGTGAGGGAGGATATGAGAGCGAAGAGTCGGGACACAAACTCAGAGAGTGAGAAGCCTTCCAAGAATGATTTCATCATCATCTTATCCACGACAGCCCTATTCAACTCCACGAAAGTACACTTATATATGTGGGGAAAAAAACATGTTAAAGTGAAAAATTATTTTCCTTCTTTGTGTATCAAAATGGGTTCCTCATCAAAATACCAACATGATATCCAAATAAAAATATCAACCAGTACAGTATAAACAATAGAGCAAATAATCAATCACACAGTAAAATCAAATCTTTTAACGTGGAAAACTCAATGTAGGAAAAACCACGGGACCGTAGTCCACCTCAAACTTCCACTATCAATAGTAATGATAACAAGTTTATAATAGGTCTTCTCTAGAATAATCAGAGGATCACAATAACATCAAGTACATAGATATTGGCTCAAGAATAGCATATCTTCATCACATAAGATGGATCTCCTCGTAAGAGAATTCTAGGTCTCACAAAGTGGATATAACAGGAAAGTACCTTAGAGAGGGTAAACTGTAGATCAACACCATTAGGATTGTAGAGTTTGCTACAAGGATTCTCCATATAAAATTTGAGCCAAAACTGACAACGTTTGGCTACCGATCATCAAGCAGAAAACTCAGAAATCTTACTTTCTCTCTCTATTTCTCTCTCCTTTTTTCTCTGCACGCAGCCGCTCGATGCAGGCTCTAAACTTTTTTCCTCACCTTTTGCCTTCAATTAGTGATTTGGGTTCAATAGGCCCAATTGTCCAAGCCCACATATGGGCTGGACCCAACAATTCTCCCCCTCCAGCTCATATGGTGAGTTGTACCAAGCCCGCTCTTCACCAAGATGTTTCAAGCTTCTCCTTAGGCAAAGACTTTGTCAACATATCTGATCAATTCTCATTAATATACATATTTTCCAACTGTAATTCTTTCAACTCAAGCACATCACGAATCCAGTGATATCTCATATCAATATGCTTGGATCTAGAATGGTATGTTGAATTCTTAGAGAGATGAATGACGCTCTGACTATCACAGTAAACAGTATATCCTTCATGTTTCAAGCTCAATTCCTGTAGAAACTTTTTTATCCATAAAGCTTCCTTGCAAGCTTCAGTAATTGCTATGTATTCTGCTTTTGTGGTTGATAGAGCAACACACTTCTGTAACTTAGACTGCCAAGAGACTACTCCTTCTACAAATGTCATCAAGAATCCCGAAGTGGACTTCCTGGAATCAGTATCACTTGTCATGTTTGCATCTGTGTAACCTTCTAACACAGGTTCATCACTACCAAAATATAAACATAACTTGGAAGTACCTCTTAGATATCTTAATATCCATTTCACTGCTACCCAATATTCCTTTCTAGGATTAGAGAGAAATCGACTGACAACTCCAACTGCATGAGCTATATCTGGCCTAGTACAAACCATAGCATACATCAAACTACATACTGCAGATGAGTAAGGCACTCTAGATATTTCTTCTTTTTCTTTCTTACTTGTAGGACATTGTTTCGAACTAACCTTGAAATGACCTGCAAGTGGAGAACAAACTGCTTTAGCTTTACTCATGTTGAATCTTTCAAGAACCTTTTCAATGTAAGTCTCCTAAGATAGCAAAATCTTCCTTTTCTTCCTATCATGAAGAATGTTCATGCCAAGTATTTGTTTCACCGATCCCAAGTCTTTCATGGCAAAAGACTTATTTAACTCTCTTTTAAGCTTTTCAATTTTTCCAGCATCATGACCAACAATCAGCATATCATCAACATATAGCAGTAAAATAATAAAATCATCATCTGAAAATTTCTTCACAAACACACAATGATCATATATGGTTCTATCATACCCTTGGCTCATCATAAAAGAATCAAACTTCTTATACCACTGTCTAGGTGCCTGTTTGAGTCCATATAAGCTTTTCTTAAGCTTACACACCAGATTTTCTTTTTCCTTGACTTTGAAACCTTCTGGTTGCTCCATGTAATTTTTTTCTTCTAAGTCACTATGAAGAAATGTTGTTTTTACATCAAGTTGCTCAACTTCTAAATTCAAGCGGGCAACCAAACCAAGAACAACTCGGATAGAGGACATTTTCACAATTGGAGAAAAGATTTCTTCAAAGTCAATACCTTTCTTCTGACTGAATCCTTTCACAACTATTCGTGCCTTGTATCTTTGTTGTGAGCTATTGTTTTCAGTCTTCAATTTGTAAACCCACTTATTCTTGAGAGCTTTCTTATCTTTAGGCAACTTTACCAAGTCATAGGTGTGGTTCTCAAGCAAGGATCTCATCTCTTCTTGCATGGCTTTAACCCACTCATTCTTATTCTCATGTAGAATAGCTTCTTGGTAAGTTTCTGGCTCTCCCCCTTCAGTAAGCATAACATCCTCATATGGAGGATATCTGGTAGATGGTTGTCGCTATTTAGTAGATCTTCTCAATGGAATCTCAACTGGTGGTGGAGGTACTTGTTCAG